TTTATTATAGTTGTTCGATATTTTACAGTTACATATGAAGATGAATATATTGTATTCTCTCCTTGTTCTCTGTTATATAAATAGCTCGTTTTTTCTAAATAAGTTGAATTTTGATTTACCAAAACTATTATTACTAAAATAATACAGGAATTATTTGAATTGAAATTGAAACCGAAAGCAATAATCGAAGTACTTCATGAACGTGGAATAACACTACCAAGCATTAGCCAATTAAGTAGTTTTTTAAGAACTATTAAGAGTACAAAACTTGGTCCAAGTTCAATTAGTCTTTGTGAAACTGAACAATGGTGTTTAGAATCAAGTCAATCAGTTCCAGAATCAAATGATACTCTTTTTGTTGCATCATATCAAATTATTTATTATGATGATGGTGAAAACGACGATGTTGATGATGAAACAAGTTTCGGTTTTTTATTACAACAAAAAGACTTCTACAAATTGCTTCAAGATCAAAAAAACTTCATGCTGATGCAACGTATAAATTGTTGTGGCAAGGATTTCAAGTTCTCGTTGTTGGCACAACTGATCTTGATCGACACTTTCGCTCATTTGGTATGGCTGTCTGTTCAAATGAAACAACACAGGATTTCAGATTTTTATTTCGTGGTTTACAAGAAGGTATACAAAAGCTGAATTTAGAAGAAATTAATCCAATATTTGCGGATACATAAAATGAGAGTGATCTAAATTCCCTAGAGAACGTATCTGATGCAAGTACTCGATCACTTGCTAAGTACTAGGAAAAATTGGCAAGTGTTTTCAAAATTTCTCATTTGCCATGCACTTTCAGAAGTACTTTTCAGTGATCAAAATAGTTGCTTTTATTGCTAAGAAGTACTCTGTGAAAGTTCTTAACAACTATATAAAAGGCTTTTTTATCACCCTAATCCGAAAAAAGCATATTTAAAAAACCAAAAGTGTTTTTCTGTTTGACCAGAAAGCTAAAAAGTGTGTTTTAGAAAGAATCGAAGGGTTTTCTGGCTTTGGTAAAACCCAGAAGCGTTTTTTGCTAAATGCACTTGGGTTAGGGAAACATCGTTTTGGTTTTTCAAGTAGTGAAGGATTTTTCAGTGTGGGCAAAAGAGAAAAAGAAATTTAAGTACACTCTTTAGAGAGAGAATTTTCTTGCGCANAGTTAAAACCTGCATCGTAACTTGGGAAATTGCAGAAGTTTTTTCAGAAACTATTTTAAGATAAAAGTATGAGTTTAATAGGCTATTGGTGTTTGAAGTATTCAAGAAACGTATTTGATAATATCTTGAGCATTCTGATTATTTCTTGCGCAAGAAAAAAGGCTCTTAAATGCTTCTCCTTTTAAGTACACCGATCTAAATTACTTCTGTTTTTATTTCCGTTCAACAGCGAAAGGGCTTTGCAGAGGACTGGACGAAACGTCCAAAAGTATTTGTGCATAAGCAGTTTTATGTGCTCTATCTAATAATGCTAAAACTGGAGCTGCGAATTTTGTAGTTGAGTCGAAGAAGGAGTTTTTGTCTTAATTAAATTGTTCTAAAATCTCGTATATCTCCGATTGTGCGTGTTTCCGAAATGTAAAACATTCAAATTCGGATAGAGCTTAAAATTTTGTATATACTAAGAGATTAACACTACGATTATACTACGCAAATAATCACGATTATCTTTAATCATGACTAACCATTTTCTAGTGTAACTGCAACTTTTTTGAATTAAAATTATTATTAACCAATTATTTATTAATCTGTAAGAGTGCTATAGTGCTAGAAAAATTCTTTAGTAGGCAAAAGAACGCTCAGGCTGATTAGTTATTATAGTTGCGCAGTAATATGCAAGTGTCGCTATCATGATCATTTTTTTGATAGAGGTGGGTACAGTTAATCACGATTGAATTTAATCGCAAGTAAAGATAATCATGTTCCGAACATGATTATTTTTACCCATGATTTTCAAAATAATCGTGATTAAAGTGGCGGTTACACTACTAGTTTAATCACGATTAAAGATAATTATGATTATTTGCGTAGTGTAGCCGTAGTGATAGTGTATATGTGCTGGGTAGACATCTCTTCTCACAGAAGTCACAAAATGTGAAGATCGACTAAATGTTCTTATATTGATGTTAGAAAAGAAGAACGTGCTTTATCATATGGAAAGAGAAGGAAAAAAAAATTTCTCTTTTTCACAGTGAAGTGAATTCAATGTTATTCCAGTGAATCACAAAAGATTCAATTGTTCCATCTAAAGAACGTATTCAAGCCATACTTGATATTCCTCAACCCACAACATTAGCTCAAGCAAATAAATTTATTGGCAAAATTGGATGGTATAGGAAATTTATTCCAAAGTTTGCTGAATTAGCTGCTCCTATCCATACAAAGAAAAACCGAGAATTTTATTGGCATGAGGATCAGGTTCAAGCAGCAAATAAGTTAAAACAAGTATTAACGGACGAACCACTAGTATTGAAGTATCCTCATCCAACTGCACCATTTATTTTGGCTACTGATGCATCGGAGTATGCGATTGACGACACATTAAAACAAATAATAGACGGGCAAACTCATTATAATTACTTTCTGTCTCGATTGTTAACACCAACCGAGATGAATTATTCAACGATAGACCGAGAGGCATTGGCATCTTTTGGTGCATGGAAAAATTGCAGCAGTACTTACGTGGAAGGGATGTCATCATTCCGTCGGATCACAAACCATTGGAACAATTTTACAAGAAGCGGAAATTCAATAGCAAACGAATTGCGGAATGCTTAATTAAACACGTTCATTTGCATATTCGTCGATTTTGAAAACTAGAAAAGTACGTTGGAACATGTGCGAATAGTCGAACGCATTAGAACGGTGTAAAAAATGGCAGAAAATTACATTTTAACGTGTCCACTTGTCCAAGTTCGTGAATGACTTTTCGTGTGCTTATCTGCCTGATTCTGAGGACAGTCTATGATTTTTCGGATACGAACTTTACTTTTTACTTTACTGTGATTACGGATTTTTTACAAAAACGAATTTACAGTGTGGTAGTTGCGAGAAAAGTAACGAAATAGGTTCTTTGTTATGTACTGACTGAAAAATTCGAGCAATCACAAGCAAGAATACACTATGGCGCTATAGTCGAAGTTTTAAGTTTCATTTAACGTTTGGATAGTTGTAATATATAAGAATAGCTAAAAATTAATTTGTTCAATATCTTTGAATCTAAGTATGAGGTACGTGCAGTCGGCATAGAAATTAATTTTTCTGAGGCAATTCTTTTGGAAAAAAATGTTTTTTTACTAAAAGCATTTGTCCGGTCGCATGACCGCTGGATTCGCCACTGTGTCCACTGTCATTACCGTCTTTTCTTGTAGGAAACTGTTTACTCAATTCATTTTAGCTGAGAAAAATGCATTTTATTCCTTTTGTCACTGAGATATAAGTGAAATTTAATATTTTCATCAAATATTCTCTGTCGAGTGTGTGTCAGCAAGAAAGAACAGTGTGTCATGTAGAACTCGACGAGATCTATCCAAATATACCTTGATCTCGTTTATTCAATCCATATTAGCTGAGGAAAATACACTTTATTCCTTTCCCCATTGTGATATGAGTCAGCCAAATATCGACATATCGATGTGTGCAGTTCTTAATTGCATTACACTTGAGTTTTATTTATTACAGGAAAGAGGGATCGTAATGTAAGGAAAGTTCAGTGCAAAAATGAAAAAGAAAAATACATACGGCGAGAACAAAAATACAAGAAAAGCATGGATATATAGTAGAAAAGTTGAATAGTAGTTTAGATTCATTTTAACAAGTATAAAATACACATAGCTATGAATGTGTACGAAAATGATGCCTATGTTTTCCATCCACTCCACGTAAGATTCGTCCTCACTCAAGGCCAACAATTTTGGCAAACTGCTTATTTCACCGGCATTTTTGCCAGTAAAAGATGGGATCGTCAAAATATAATAGATTTGCGTTTTGGACTTTCAAGAGTTCTTTAAATTCATAAAGTAGTTAGTGAAGACTAAACTGCCCATCTGTTTTAGAATTGAATGTTTAACTTTCGGAGAAGGGGAACTCTCATTAATGGGCTCAAACTGAACGGTTTGTGCGTAGAGCATTCTAGCGGCAAAAGTTGACTTTGGTTCTTCGACGGTTGGAATCGAATCCTTTAGCTGAAGATAAGCGGTCTCAATCAGTTCGTTTTGCTCAGACATGGCAATGAAATCAAAGTCCAAGTCATTATTAGCAGTTCGATGCATTGAACTTTTGAGTCTTTCATAAAGATGTTCAATATCTTTAGCAATATTATAACGAATCTGATCATCAGTGAAATCTTGAAAATTTTTCATTTTAGCTATGGTACTCCTCGCGGCTTTTTCCAGTTGTTCAGTATTATACTCACTCCGCTCAAATTGTTTAGCTAATTCAAGTGTCGTTGTGTGTCACATTAAACAAAGAACCCTGAAGGGCTAAAAAGAAATACTGGTTGAAAACCAGTATGGTAAAAAGTATAACTGCGATTTCCTAACAAAATTTTGATGGCTTTTCTTTTTTGTCTAACTATTCGAGAAGTAATGTTGTAATTGAGAGAAGAAGGTAGTATAAAAATGTTCAGCGGATTGAGCGCTATCATTCAGACTACGCTACTTATTCGTTTGGTCACCCAAATTGTGAAGCTTTCAGCGCACAAGTTAATCTGTACTTTCGGATAATGTGGGATTTTGGAAAAGCAGAAAAAGGATCAGCCAAACAATGCAGTGAAAGTGTGCGTTGTTGAGTTTTGTAGAGCAGAACATTTTCTATCTTCTGAAGTCAAAATGAAGTCTCGGAACCATACGAGATATAGATAAAAATAGGTACATGAATAGCCCCATCATTTCAGGATCATCCGTTCTTAGTGGCAAAATGTTAGGAAAAAGTTTATTTCTCAATACGGATTAATTAAATGAAGTTTTCTTATCGTACAGTCAAGACCTATGTTATCGTAAAGAACAGTTAATCTATATATTGTACACATACGTTTACTAGTCTAGTAAACACATACCGTTACTAGTCCAAGTTAACCATGCTGAAAAGAATTAATTCGGGTAGGTTAACAATGAAACCCGACTTCAATTTCGATCTCAATACCGAGTTATCTGATGTACGAAAGAACGATCAAGAAATACGTAGTACATTGAACGATTTGATCCAATATCTCTCAAAAGATATTGTACAAAAGAATGATGATCAACAGACAACCATTAATCTTGATGATATTGATTCAAAGTTGCCAGTCAATATTCTCCAACCGGTCCTCAATGCTCGTCTGGAACAACGTTTGTACGATATTGAGGAAAGATTAAAGCCAGTTGAACGTGATATAGCTGTTAATAACGAACGAGTGGATGAAATGGAAATAATAGATATAATAGATCATTCAATCTTCGATTTCTAAACGTGCCGCTTGCGCGAACGAAGATCCTGTTCAATTAACGTAGGATAATATATTGATGCTTTTTGACTTTTTTACGTTTTTAATGAAACATAGTATATTCAAGTAGTAGCCAACACTGATTGTTCGTATTTGGAACTGAAGGTAGCCAACATTGATCGTGATGGCTCATCGCCTGATTATGATACTGTGATAGTGTCGAAAGCTCGCTGTTTGTGTGTAAAATGATTTTACTTAAATTCTTTTCTATAATTTTGAATATACTATGTTTCATTAAAAACGTAAAAAGGTCAAAAAGCATCAAAATATTTGAATTGATCGGATCCAAATATGAACGATCAGTGTTGGCTACTCGCTGAGATGTTACTCGCTGAGTTACGTGAAAAAGAACGTAATCTAAAGCTGCTGAGAAATCAAGTTGAATTTGGTTTGAAGTGTCTTACGCCACAGATTTCGGTGCTAGATAACCATCGGGTCAAAAATTATTTTTATTATTTTTGTAAGTTAGAAAGATCCAAAAACGAAACGATCCATGCAGAAAAATTGAGAGTATTGCATGGAGCAACAGTTGACCACACGAAGTCAACGCTATTAGACAAAAACACATTACTTTCTAATCGGATTCTGGATGAAAATGAAATAAAATTATTATGCCGAGGATGGAAATTTGTGTAGATAATAAAGTAACAAAAACATTGGATTTAAAAACGAATATAGAACACGGCATGTACCATATAAAAGAACTAAATAAGGAAAGAAAATCAATTAAGTGGGAGTTGTTGCACTCTTGTCGTTAGTCTTCTTTCGTAGCGAGAACATGTTCGTTCGTTTGTCATTTTATTGTGCATTGAAGACATTGTCATTCTGGTCCACTTGTGCAACGAAATAAAGTTCGACACATATACCTCACACATTAGGCACCGACACCAAGAATTTTAGCTAAGAAGCTTATTAACTCTAGCATAGACCTTACTTAAAACATGAATATTTTGACATTTCAAGCTTTGAAAGTTCATTTCAAAATTCGATCCAGACCAGTTATTATGCATGTTTCACGCTCCCGTTCCAAATATCATCTTATTTTTTTCCGTTGAAAATATTCTGAGGGTGAGAAAAATGATTTCTTCTTGAAAATCCGGTAGCGAGGTGTAGGAAAGATGATGCTGTTTGTGTAGTATATGTGCCGAAGGAGAAATTACAATTCAGGGCAATTTAAAATGCCCCTAGAGAAACTTGAAATTTTAAGCTCCTCTGGGGCAAATTCAAATGGTACTCTGGTAATATCGTCGCATATGTCTTTTCTAATCAGAAATTTTACAACAAATTTGTCGTTGAGACTTTAAATATGTGCGTCGAGTTTTTGGTAGAAGGTGTCGATCTTGAACGTGGAATTACACGAAAAGCGAATGAATTATTTGACTCCTTAGAGTTAATCTCTTTATATAGGTTTTGTATTCGTTCCTTTCTTTTCTATTCTATAATACTTGTATAATATTTATTTCAATTTTCTCTAAGAGAAAACTAAAATAGTGGTATATTTGTTCTATTGTAGGGTATGCACCAGTTACAATTTTTTACCAGTTAACTGTACCTGTAAGACTGCTGATAACTGTGATTGTGAAAACTGTAACTGCTCATAACCGTAATCAAATATTCTAGAGTGAGTTATTCTTCTGCGATTTGCATTCATTTTAAGAATGTCTCACTCTTAAAATGTATGCAAATCATAGAAGACTATTTAATAGTCTTCTATGATTTGCATACATTTCTAGAGTGAGTTAAACTCACTCTAGAATATTTGATTACGGTTATGAGCAGTTACAGTTTTCACAGTTATACAGTTATCAACAGTTTTACAGTCTTACAGTTAATGGTAACTGGTGCATGCCTAACTATAGAGAAATTTAAAATTCTCCTATATGAGAAATTAAAATTTTACTTTGCCCTACAGGAAAGGAAAATAAGCTATTTTTCTTAAAAAAACCCTATATGAATTTTCAAACTAGATGTTGGCTAAGCGTTTTCGATTCATGGTGGCTGAATTAGAATTTTTTATAACAATAAGCAGTGTATATACTGAAGTATATACACTCCCTGACTAACCAGAAAAAAATTTCGCTTTTGTTTATTTTTCTTCGAATATTCGCCTGGATACTGACTGCGTAGTGATTCAGTGCTACTTTTTTCTCAGTCAGTAAAAGCCATGGTGGAAAGATAAATATGTCAGTAGACATTTGCCATGTGAAACTGATATTATACCATATGTTAGTTTGAACTTTCGTTTATTCAACAACAAATTAGAATCGAACGTTGTATGCAGTTGGATAACGTAATAGTACAAAATGAGATATAAGAAAGTACAGAAAAGATAAAATATAAAGACGAACTGAATGAACAAATAATGGACACTGGTTTCAGGTGACATGATTTTATAGTATATTTATTAGAAATACAATAGATCACAACATCAAAAACAGAAACTATAAATCACTTTTAGATTAAATCGTGTGTTGTCGCGTAGATGAACGATTATTACTCATACTGTATGATAAAATTGATATTTACTTGATCACTATTTCGCTGCAAGATTGATATTATAGCGTTCGATCATTTAGTTAATGGCTTTTATTGCACTAGCAGTAAAAGCCATTAACACAGCGCTAACATACAAAAGTACCTGTGCTACAATCATCAAATGATAACTATAACCATTTTGTATTGAAAGCTGACGAAGTTCATTAAAAATTGTGGGAGAAAAACTTGAAAAATTAGAATTATTTGACAATATTAAACCAGTATCAATTTGTCCTGAAGAATTCTTAAGCAATTCACCATTTTGTAACACTAAATCATGCAGTGGAGTTATTAATTCTTTATCGATTGTATATGGCCAATAAATGACAATTGAACACATAATAAAGATAGCTGCTAACAGAAATAGAGTCGCTGGTACAATACTAACGATGGGTGAAAGATTTTTCATAAACAAAGTAGCCAATGTAATAATAAATGCGAAAAATATGCATAATAGACCAATAATAGCTAGAGCAACTGGCGTAGATTGTGTTTTATTCGTACAACCTGGTGTAACATTAAATGATTCTATTCCAGGAAACGTACCGATATCTGTACACTGTTTAAATAGACCTATTCGATTACTGATGAATGAACCACTATTTATCGTTATCCATGACGGTGTTGCTATTCCCACTATTGTACATATTATGGCTAATAGAGCCAGACCAAGAATAGTGAACAAAATTAGACGAGTTTTATACATTATTATTTTATTTTGTTATATTGTATAATGCTTATAAGATGAAGAGTAGTGGAATGAGAGGCTAATAGAATAAATATTAATGATAAATATTTACACTATACTTTTTTTTCTTTGATTAAATAGAATAATCGATGAAGAAGAATATTCACAAATAATGCTAATATGTACTTGGCACGAAATTTTGTTTCATCTTTGATAATGACGTCAATAAATAAATAACATCTATCAATTTTAAAAAATAATCGAAGAAACGTTGTTTTTCTTTTCGAATACCTTTAACAATGACTAATAAGCATTACATCAACTATTAGATAGATGAGCACCAAATTACTGGAGCAAAGAAAAAACTTGAGGGGTGAAGATTTCTAAATATTTATATTTTCTTCCTTTGTATCGTCAACAGAAAAAATAATTAATTCTTTAGTACAATTTTCCATACGTGCAAAGGTTATTAAAATGATGAAACTAACACTTTTTTGCGAATCTTTTTCTCTTTCGTTCTTTCTAAACGCTCACATCTTAACATATTTCTAATTTAATTTCGAGTAATATTGCTAGACTAATTGAATGTTTATAACAGTATTGTTTAACTCCAACAGAATATGTGCACAATTTTAAAGCTTTAGAAAACCAGGATGACATCTGCCAGACAGGAAATTGGTCTCTCGAATCAGGACTGTTAAGCACAGTACTAGTGTTAATGAGTTTTATTGATGAAATATGAAGAAAGTACTGACTAACGCTTCAGCTTTAACGTTAATTGTAATACGAATAGTAAAAATATTCGCGATACGTAATAAAGAGAAATTAAATAGCATTTTTTCTACTTTTGGTAGTGTTACTACTAACCGAAGTGTCGTTCGAATAGTACAATGTTGCTTTATCGGCACATGGAGAGGTTTGTAATCATTACTGGTAGATCGGTCTGTATAAGTGTGATGGAATTACGCCTCTTCTTCGGTCTTCAGAAATAGCAAATGTAAAAGAAATTAATTACAAAGGTACAGAGATGTCCACAAGAGTCACTGAAAATACGGGCTCATTTGGTGCAGTATATTGACTCTTATAGACAAAATAATGACTGTGACGAAATCACAAAAAAAGAGATTCTCACTTGCGTCGTCTAACGAAGATCTCGTCAACTCTGCAAATCCTCTTTATCTGCTATTGGTTCTACAGATGAAGGTATTTTCGACTATATATAAAGCGTGTGTTTATTTATATACTGATTTTTTACTATTATAAGACGTCAGAGATTATATATCTACAAGATCAAGAATGTTCAAAGTTTTAAAATTAAGAATGAACCAACTTGATTATGTGAGTGGAGAAACACCTACACTTATGGGATTTATTGCATTAGTTATTAGGTTTTTTATCTCTTTGCGTTTAACCTAAGCGATCTGAGGTACGGGTTTTTTGTCTGGAAGATGGGGCTCAGATATCCTCAGCTAATTTTGATGTTGCTTATGTACCCAAGCTAAAATACTCTACGGAGGAAATTTAGCTCCATCGACTATATAACCAGGCAGTTATTCACTTGATGGTTCTAGCTAAATGTACCTAGTTACCTAGCTCCAACCTAGTCATGAACTGGGCGCTAGGTTATCATATTGAGTAGTCCACTTAATCGACCCTTTAAAGATCTTGAGACGAAATGTACATCATAAGCCGGAGATTCTCAACTAGCGCCTGATTTACCCATCGGTTTAACCAGTTTCAGACATCGAATACATTAAATACAAGAAGGTTATCATCTAGCTCCGACCGCTGAATCGAGCTTGCTATTACGCATGAAGTGACGATTTAGACTGAAATACGATCAACCCAAGGGGGAAAAACATCATTTGAAGTGCCTTTAAGTGTGTACACCTCCGAGTTAAGTGTTACTTCAAGTGTTTAAGTTCTAAAGTGCCACTTAAGTGATTAAGTCCATTTCATATTCCACATCTCCCAGCAAAATCCAGCATTCAGAACTTATGGAACACCCTAAAAGGGTGTTTTCATAAGTTCTGAGCTTCTCCGTATTTTGGCGATAACTTCTTTTCTTTTCAACGCTCAGACATAGCTTTTTTCCAAAAGATGCGCCACCAAATTCTCTACGAAACGCATGCTGTTTTATTCCAGAACAGAAAAGCGAAAGACTGCACGAAAAATACTGAGCAACTTTGAGGCCACTAACTTTCCAACTGAGAAAACAGTTTTTCGGTTTTAGTCTTTGACTTTTTAAGGAATGAAAAACTTAATACTCTGTATTTCGTGGCGCTTGAAAAACTCTGTCGTCTAGCTATAATTAGAATTCTTCTACAACACAACTAGTTACATAAGAATTCTTTTGATTGTAGTCGTTTTGCCAGAAATCATCAATTTAGGGTAGCATTTAGAAGTTAGTTGTCTCGAAGTTTCTCAGTATTTTTCATGCAGTCTTCACTTTTCTGTTCTGGAATCGCACACGTTTTGTAGAGAATTTGATGGCACACCTTTGAAAAAAAATCTTCGTCTGAGCGTTGAAAAGAAAAAATTGATCGTCAAAATACGTAGAGGTCCAGAACTTATGAAACACCCTTTATATATTCCAAAATAAAATGTATGAACTGTGATTGTTTGGCGTCCGTCATACGAGTCTGTTTGTTTTCATCATTATAATGCACAAAGTTAGAACGCATCTACAAATGTCAATAAAAAACCGAAAACTATTTCTAGACCGTAACTATTTCTTTCAATATAAATCAGTCAGTTTAGTGATAAGATAATAGTTATTTTTCTCTTTCTTTTTTATTTTACTACGAATGGACGGGCGATGGGTTTATCACAGCCTTTCTCTTTCTCGATTACTAATCGTTCGTTCAGTTATGGATGCTACTCATGCGAAGTAACGTCATCAAATAATGTCTCTATCTTATTCCTTCGGAACAGAAACAGCTGAGTTTGGTTCTAAAGTCTAATCTTGACTGGACAGCACACGTTGATTATGTGTTAAGTAAAGTGAATCGTTTAACTGGTCTTTTAAAGCTCCATACACGAGCGCTGTCCAGACAGTCATTGGACTTAGTCTAT